CTATCTATCTATCTATCTATCTATCTATCTATCTATCTATCTATCTATCTATCTATCTATCTGCCACCTCTCCTCGCCAGCAGATTATAACACTTGTGATGTATCACACTAAGAAATCAAGAGACTTAAGTTTGTCCATGCGGAGAACTTTGGCCGAGGTTTAAGCTGGTGCAGACTAACTCTAAAATAAACCTTTGAGACTGTAATGATCAGTGTGTTGAGATCTCAAGAAAGAACTGAAAGACTTGGTCAACCTTGTCAATCATGAAGTTCGTCAAAAGCAGCCAAAGTCCCTAACACGGTTTTTGTCAGGTGTCTGAGAATGGTTAAGGGCAAGAGGTTGAGCTTTTAATTAGGTGAGCATGTAGGAGAGACAGCCAAAGAGAACAGAAAAGGTTAGCCAAGGCCATTTCCTGGTGGTAGAAGATGAGGAGGTCACGAAATCTAGACAGGACAGATGTGCGCAATCCTGAGTGCTCATTATTTTCTGATGGGGGGCTAGTGGCAGATAACTTTTGGGAAAGCCACAGTCTGCAGAATGGAAATTACAGCGAGGAGCTGCAAGACTCCATTTTCAGTCTTTCGAAGGTAAATGACAAGAGCACCTTGTAAATATTATCCAAACACTAAGAATGCCTCACATGCACCGGACATTGAAGGCTTGGCAGGAGATTAATTGTTTTATCATCTAGCGTTGAAAATGAACATGATTATTCATCCAGTATGCTTGATAGCAGTTTTGATGGTGTAGGAGGGAGAATTCATACACAAGGGATGAAGCAGAGGGAATCTGCAGGATCAAGAAAACTGTGAAGATTTATGTTTTAAAAACGGTCAAAATGACAAAGATTTTAAAAGCTGAAATAAGGAAATAAAAAAGCTAAAAAAGCTTGGTTTATCAGAGCTGTTCCTGGTTACATTTCGATTAAAAATCCCCCAGGTTTACATTCCGTTTATCTTTAATGTCTTGACAGTGCATGGAAATAGCTCTACAAGATTTACCAATACATCAACAAACGTGGATCTTGGGTCAAAAGGAACAATAATGGAGCTTTTGAGGAGCTTGACCTGGACAAGCAGTCAGCCTTAATAGTGTTGATGAACTACTGAACAATTTGCTCACTGTGACTCCCTCTGCTCCAAAGTCCATTCAAGTCACAGAAGATTTTCATGAGTGTCTTAAACACCATTTTTTTGGTTGTTTCTCCAGCATTTCTTTAAAATAGTGTGGTACAATGGCTTTTTAACCCAATTTGAGAGATGCTAATTCTATCATGTTGTATTGATAGCATTTGCTTCTACACTTAAGATCAATTAATTCGGGCTGCACTGCTGCCTCTAAATGTCGAGGAAATAATCACTGATGCGAGCCCTCCATCACCGTGCTTGACAGTTGGTATAAGTAGTCAGTGCGGATATGATGAGAGTATATATGAAGAGTCTGTGATGTAGTGATACCTGAGAATACCAGGAAAATTTGGCTACTGCTCTGGAAATGACTTTGTGGTTCCTCCAAGTATGATTGTAAGCAATGATTGTGTATTTAAGATCATTGGTGATGTCTTTCCTCATGGGTGCCAAAGTTACCACACACAAGAGCCTTCCAGAGCAACAAACTTAATAATGAAGTTCAGCTTTTTTTTAAGTGCTCACACTTATTGATGACCATTTAATTAGGGGAGCACCAGGCTTCCGACCCACTAACCCTATCTACTTATGTAGGAGCAGTAAAGCTGCAGTCGGCTTTTTTTACACACAGCTTCTACATTCGTCTTTCTTTAAGTTAAATGAATAATGACACAGTTTACAACGTCCAGGTTTTTTTTGTTCTGTTCCAACTGAGGTTTTATTGTTTTTTTGAGAACAGAGCAATGCAGAGGAAAACTGGTCATATATCAGTGAAATAAAAATAAATAAATGGTATTTGTAACAACTGAAAGAAACATGTCTGATTTGATAACAGCTACGGCATCCAGTACCAGAACCCTCATAGTTCTAATCACACAGCTTACAAATAACATGTTAAGAAATTCTTAGGAAGCAAAAAAAAAAATATTTTGATGGGTTGCTTATTTACGGACAGTTTGATTCTCCCTTATCTACATCAGTTAAATTTAAGACGAAGTTTATACTCTTCACTGTGAGTAAATTGTTCGGTTGTTCATCAACACAACCAATGATGAGCATTTGTCCCAGATAGCAAAGCCTGCATCTCCAACCTCAGTGCAACATGTCTGCAGTACAGGTTGCTGTGAGGAATAAAACATTTGATAACTCTTAAAGTGACTGAAACCATTTGCAAAACTTACCTGGACGTAGTTCTACTAGTGTGTTGCCAGGGGAACAGGACGTTGCCAACAGCTGCCCGGTAGCTGTAGACACCTAAAAGCCCGAGGGCCAGGGCCACCTTGGAGACCCACGAGCACCATCTTTGAACCAGGAAGTAGATAAGAACCAAGCAGAAAGCAGAGAGCAGGGAGAGTACCATCTTGTGTTCTGAGCTGGAAAAACAAACAAACAAAAGAAAAAACAGCTGATGGGATGAAAAAAATAAATTAAATCAAGTTCAAAATTAAAAACATGCCCCGCAGTATAGTTTCCAATAAATATTCAAAATGAAATTCATATTTAACACGGTGGTGTAAAGTGTTGACAACTTATTAATTAAGTACAACTCGGTAAGGGAAGAACTTACTCCATTAACTTAATTGTTTTTGTTTATAACAGATCAAAAGAATGCTTCAACACTTAAGTGGAGCATTTACTGGGCTGGGAAGTTTTTCTGACGAGTTGTTTCCTGCTGCATCACTTTAAACTTTCAAACAACACACACTTTTATCGTACTGGATTTTAAAGTGTACAGCCGGAATTGTGTCAAACCGCAAACAGACAGGAAATAATAAGCCTTCAAAGGACGTATCACAGTTACGCTGTAAGCTGTGTATTAACCATTATCTACATCAGACATCAGTGGGGGAAGATGGGCACTCAGGGAACAAACCATGTTCCCTGCCAGATGCTGTTCTTAGAATATTAATGCCTTGTGGAGCAGTCACAGCTTTAAAGAGAAATAGTTTTTTCTACAGTCTGAGCATTTAGAGACCGCTTTCTTTTAAAGAAATACAACATGGAAAGTTAAACTCCTCTAAAGGTTAAAAAAAAAAACATTTCAATATGTTTACGTGTAAACACATATGACATGTTGTATGAAATTAATCTAAACCTTCTTTAAAATGTCTGATTTGACCTAATAATTGTAAGACCTATTACTTATAACGCATAATCTCAGCTCTATGTGCATTTCGGTAACCCCTCTGAATATGTCCACATGTTCTAAAGCTTTGTATTTTCCCCATGAAAAAAAACAAAACAGATCCATTTATGTGTTAATCTTGTGAGTGGGTGGGCTGGCAAATAGACTCTGGCTGAAAATACTGTCTTTGGAAAAATTTGCACCTCTTCTTTATAATGATGGATTTAACCAAGAGCAACTGTTGAACTTATGTTCTTAAACAATGAAAGAAGCCAAATCAATTAAATCTCATTCTCCTTATATCATTCCAGATGCTGTGATGAGCCCACAACTGTCTTAGTTGTTAAACATCATGCGCAAGATTAACATTTAGTATCTTGATTGGAACTAAAACAGGGATATAAATAGATTTAATAGTTACCTAAATAAAAAAGGTGGCAAAGAACACAACCAATGAAATGGGGAGTAATTCTGCAGTCTCCGCAGCTGCTTCATAAGGTAATAGTATGCCAGCCAGTGCCAGCTCTACACACATAAATGTGTTATGACACAAAATTTATTCTGACTGAGCCTTTTCAATTAAAAAAATACTTAGAATAAAACTGTTAATCAAGATGAGTGAAGAGGAGGCGTCAATGGTATAGAGCAAAAAGCAAGATGGAAGAGCAAAGGGGAGGAAGTTTAAACTTTTCTTTCCCTATGATTTTTAATCCATTTTAGCTGGGAGTGCAGGTTTACTGGCATGATATGTTCCTGAGCACTTCAGCTCATGCTGTCATTAGAAAGATTTTCCATATTCTGCCTGCCAACACTGCATGGGATATGATGAACGATCTTATCGGCCCAAGATGATTCAACATCAGATCGATTCATTCTTATTTTACTTTGCATTGCAATTTTTCTTCATTAATTTGTGCACAATTCCCCTATGATAATGTGTAACACATTTAAATATTAGCATTAGGATTTGAATGTGAAAAAATGTTTTAGAACTTTTTAGTGTGTTTAACTTTGCTTTGTCAAATGAAAGAAGAACGGTACAGCTAACCTGTTCAGCCAATGCCCCACATCAGGAAGATGAGCCCACTGAACTCCCGTTTGGTTGAGGGACCGCAGCAGTCTGCAGCAAACCAGAGTGAAAGGGGGCACGGCCAAAGCCAGCCACTTCTCCAAGTAAATATTAGATTTAGAGGGAGCAAAGGGATGGCTTTCTTTGTCTCTGGAAGGGAGGATGTGCTCGTCTTCATCTTCAGAGCCCCTCTCCTCTCTGAAGTACTTCCGACAAACATCCTGGAAGACTGTGAGGGAGAGTGTATTGAGGAGAAAGTACCACGTTTGGTGCTCCTCTTCGACAAAACTACTGGCCGCTAAGCTGAGTGTGTGACCAACGGTGCCGGCCAGCAGCAAAACATCCAACTCTGACAGCGTCCATTCACTACTATTGCTCCTAAGCGGGGACTGTGAAAGAGAACAGGAGAGAGAAGAACATCGAGCTGATTGAGTCATTAGTGTAAAGCAGATTTCTTTAACTTTTCAATTCAATATGGCTCAATTTTGATAAAAACTCTTTGTTGAGATAAAACTGAACATGTCAACTTCCAAAAGTCAGCTCTTTACACTCCTTACCTGTTAAATTGCAAGAACAATTTATTGTGATGCACTTCAGAGCTGCTGGCGTCAAACTCAGCCTATTTTGACCTCGCCTACTTATTATGTGCTTAGCACATGGTCACTGGGATAGTTAGCTGGAGTGAACCACTTCTTGGGTGATCCACGCCAACAATAACAACTGAATACCTAATCCCATGACGCTCATTAAATGACCCTTATACTTTGCAGTAGAGCTGACCATTCTAAACCACTTATACCACCTTGATTCATGACAAAAGCAAGCAAACTGAAACATGAGGTTTGCCAATCTGCTATAATTTCTCAGCTCCTTATCATGCAAAGAAAAACCTTTAACAGCATCAGATTGCCATTGAAATGTTGCACCTCTTTGTGCGACTGCAGACAGTGACCATGAGCTGTCATTTATGAATTACAGTCCGTGCTTTACAGATGCCTTTATCCTTAAGATTAGTGGCTCTCCTGCTGCCTGCTTGTATGCAAATCATTTAATTCTATGGAACGTCAGTTCAAATAGAGTTCAGCCAACGTCTTGGCTCAGTGGAAGTTTTTCAGCCCAACAAACAGCAGTCATGCATCTTAGGTTGTGTTTACTTTGATGACAGAGAGGCAGAGTCACTACATAACTACCTGCAGGCTACTACGTCAGGCTCGCTGTGGGATTGAGCTGTTATGACTGATTTTCCCTTCAAAATATGAAAAAATACTTGCCAGCATTATCCAAGTTTAATTTACATAGACAATTGGCAATTAAATATGTAGGCATGGTAGTTACATTCGAGAGAAAAGGGCAGAAGGGGGAAAAAGGGCCCAAATGCCCTATTTTTCCCAGTCAATTTTCCCAGGATCAAAAGTCACGGCTGTGACGTTTTTCATGAATTTACAAAATGTTTTTTTATGATGTCACCTTCCGGCGGAATGTCTGCTCCAGCGTTTTGGTAGGTTTAGACAGTTCAGGCCTTTATTCTATGTATAAAACTTCATCTTGGTGGTGTCTTGTTCAACCGATGAAGGTAAAAGCCCTAAAGAACAAAGCTTCAAATTTAATTTAATTGAAAATTGAAAATGAAAAATAGAAAGAATAAATCTCAGGACATGAATTAATTGTAGAATGAGAGGCGCCCCAATGCACGTGGGACTGTACTAAAGATTTCAGTCATTTATCATCAAATACAAATCTTGTAAAGCAGACTTGGACAAAAGACCTCCAAGCTTTCGGTCAATCTTTTAAGGTTCTTACTTTAGTTCTTGGCATGTCTGTCAGAACACGGCCTGCTTTTCAGAGAGCTGTGCATTTTGTACGTTATTCCACCTGTAGAAAACTGCAGCAGATGAAAGGTGACTGACATTGTTTAAAAGGCTCTCCCATATAAACAGTTTAATCAGCTGTTTCTTGCTTTTTCATTTTAGTCTAAAACAAGAAAAGGTTATCAGAACCAAAATCAGATTCCAACATTTACTTTAAGTCGATATGTTTCCTTTCCCCAGGACCACATAATATTCGTGTCACGGTTTCATTGTATGAAAAATTAATGTTTTGTTGCTTGGCAGCCGGCAGAGAGCCGAGAAAGTTGCAGCCAAGAAAAATCTGTGATGACTGAGGTTTCATCTTATTCAAACCTCCACAGGTTGCATTGGATGGATTTCCTCGTTTGAAGTTTTTGTGTTAAACAGTTCAAGTCAGTTTCACCCCTTATATTTATCAAACAGACGTTCAGTGTTGCAGTGTTTATCTTCATTTATTCTTCTGAACGTCAGGGAATTTCTGTTGACTTGAAGAGCGTAAATGGGAAAAATATTCTGCAATGCATCTCAGGGCCAACGTCAGATTTGTTAACATGTCCTGAGGCCTCGCATTCTGACAGAGGACACCGCTTTGTCAAAAGCCCCTTCTGTGAAATGTAAAGCATACAAATATAATGAAATAAAGTAATCTTTTTGTGATTCAGCGCATTAATTTTGCTAATATCATTGGATAGAACTCTTCTTTTGCATTTTCTAGCATGATGAATCGTTCGTGATGTTTCGGAAACCATTTGCGGGTCTTGGACACGTACATGATTTATAACATTCCACAGGCTGAGCACTGAAGTTGGCTTTCAAGCAAACAGTCGTGAAACAGCATTTCTGACTTAGTCACCCTCAGTATGACTTTCTCATTTGAAACACACCCATTTCACTCCAGCAAAATTGAGAAATCTTGTTAAAGCTCAGTACTTGCTGTCCGACTTCAGTGAACTTAGAAAAGTTAGAAGAGGCTCAATTACATTTTTGGCAAAGTGGGCTAATCTTAGGAGCACACTCAGAATGGTGTCATTGAATTAGGTTCCAGAGACAGTTTTTTCCCCCCTCAACCATTTTTTTAAGCTGAACTCATTAGCTCAGTTCAGATCTGGATGAACTGAGCTAATTTGGAATTTAAAACTCAAATATATTGGATTATCATTGTATGTTAATGGTTTAGACTCTAATTGGTTTGAGCTGGACTGTGTCTTCAAAATGTCCGTGAATTACATGTTATAAGTTGGTGGGTTGCTATGTGTGAAAAGTCAATATAGTTCAATGTACCAGAATGTTTAGTTGTTGTTGCCATTTTTCAAACAAATATTTCCAACTATTGACTTCTTATTGATAATTGGAAGTATGGTTGAAATGCACAGCCGGTGAAATCAGTCCAGAGAGATACCGTGCTGGTCAATCCCATCAGAAAGGTAATTATGTAATGAAAATTACTCTTTGAGAACCACTGGGTTAAAGTAACCAATGAGGTTTTAAAGTGTGAACACTGCATGCACAGAACTAAGTTTAATGATTTTGGACTCATTTGGGAAATTAGGGCAACATGGACAGATCCCAAAAAGGTCTTCTACCTGTTACAAATATGAACAGGCAGACGACCCACCCAAATATGATGGGTGATACTTGCTTAAATTGCTGCTAAAGTCTGTGTGATATGTGTGGAAACTGGCGGCAGACACTATGAAACCAAACAAATTAAAAATACATGTAGAGGCATTACGCACCCTTTCCAACTGCCAGCCACTCCGAGTCTTCAAGAAGGAAATCCGAAGAATACGACAGCGCAGGATGTGGTGGATGCTTCTACTATCACCACCACCACCATGTGTTCAAACTACAAACCAGCTGGAGGTGAAAGCCTTGGAAAACACCATTGTTCCAAAGACCATAGGGGGGGGACTTTATTTCAAATTGTTCTAAGCTACTTTGTCATTTTAATATTCACATATTTGTATTAAGTTTAAGATGTTTGACCTTTTGTTTACCGTTTTTTATTAATATTTTTGGACACCTTTTGTCCTTGTTTAAGTCTGGTCCCTTACACAGGACGATCAAAAAACAGCAACCATAAACCTGTTGTGGTATGGATAAGTTCTGCAGTAGATAAAAGGCTCATTATAGAGAGCTGTGATATTAATAAGTTAGGTGGCACAAATTTATGGATTCATCTTTGGTGCAAAAGTATGTTTTTCTTTGCACACAAACAACTGAATTGTTGTGTTCTGAAATGTGTGACTGCATATTTTATGTTTTTTTTATATTTTTTGAAGAATAGTCTGGATTTTAGTCATCTTCACTAGTAGTTAAATATTTGACCCTTCTTGCTGGGTGACATAAAAAAGTTTGAGAACCACTGCTTTTAGCCAGCTATTTCCTTCTATGGAGTTAGAATACAATGCTTTGCATATAGATTGTGAATTAGTCTGGACCAAAAGAAAAGTAAGGTCCACTAACTTTTTCTTATCACAAAGATTACTCAAAGAGTTTGTGTTTGAAACTAGTGTTATGACTGTATATCCCTCAATACTGCTGTTGGAATAACGCCATAATAAAGCCATATGGCACTTATGTTCGGGCCCTCTAATTGTTGCAGAAAAACTAATCGTTGCATTGCTGTTAAATGTAATCAATCAGAGAACAGATTCAACCATCAACAGAGCCTTTAAGGACAATTATCTATTTCAGGTAGAAATATGTCTGAATATACTGTACATCTGCAGCAGGATTCAGAAACATAGGACAGCGTCTTGGTTGGAAATGGATTGCGGTTTTGGGGGCTGGAAGGCACAGTCAATGTGAGGCTATCGTGATTCTTGTGAGGAGGATTTTGGTTTGAATATGAGGCTGAATCCCTTCACAAACCAAGAGCTGCCTATAATTCTTTGCTGCTAGGAGAGAATAACAACAATAACCTGGATTTTTTCCATCACAATAAAAGAAAGTTTAGAGACTTTTGTCCTGCCTTACTTATGTTCATGCCATTGCTGTCTTGTCAAGACGTCTGAGCAGACGACAAAGTCTGCACCTTTAACCTTAATGTGTATTTTACACTCAATCCCAACCAGACTGGTTCAAAGAAGTTTGTCCCTTAAGTAGCGCATACATGTTGGATTTGATCATTCACTCTGTTTTCATACATTGCTTTCATGATTTCCATGATAAAATCATACTTTAAAAAATCTTTTTTATCCAGGAATGCTTGTCAATCATAGATAGCTATGTAACTTATCTTCATGTCTGAAGATCTTGCTCAATTTTGTGAAACTTTTATATAGAAACAATCTGTTTCAGCCATTTCAGATGGGATTCAGAATCCATCGTAGCACAGACAAGACACTACTGAAAGTTACGAATTATCTCCCCATGTCTGCACTTGTCCTTCTAGATCTGAGTGCTCCATTTGATAGGACTTATCCCAAAGTTTGTTACACTTTCTGACAGAGGCAAGAGTGTGCTATCAGCAGCCGCACTAGACTAATTAAGCCATATACAGTATATCTGATAAGATTCCAGATGTCCTCACAGGCAGCAACAACTTTTGCCTTCTCAATTTGGACTTGGGCTGTTAGAAAGGAAAGATTCTAGTTATATACTTGTTTGTGACGGCACCATAGAGAATTTTTCATTTGACTCACATACAGAGAGTATCACGATCTTTAAGAATATGCTTAAAATGTTCCTTTCTCTAGAATGCTTTTACATGGGGGTGGCTCAAGTATCCCTGAAAAATCCCTTAGTTGTACTGTAATAGGTCTCGCATGCTAACCAGTCAGACTAAACTGAGGGTTTATTCCTGTTTAAAGGGAGTTCTTTCTTTTCACCTCCACCTCATACAAATGCAAAACAGGGAAGGTTTCTTTTTAATCTTTTAGTTTCCTTTACTGAGTTGAATTTGAATAATTTGGAAGTTAATTAATCTGATTTCAATGGATTATAATTTTGAGTGAGTGGGGTGATAATTGACATGGACAAGACAATAGAGTTGATAGGCTTTGCCATGGTACTTGTTGGGATGTCTCTGTTGCACAAAATTTTATAAGAATAGTTAAAACTGAATATAGTGTATTCAAGTTAACAACATGACTGTATTAAGCAGTGATGCACATTTCATCAAGTTGTAAAGATAAACTTTTGTTCCTGGTAAAGTGCAGTGTTGAATGTAGAGTTGTATTAAATTTTAGGGTGGAAAAATTAGACTGTGGTTTTATAGTTGTAAATTGTATTTGAATTGTTTTTAAATGTGCTCTTCTTCGGTTTTCATCAATTATCAGTAAACGAAAAAGAATAGCAGAGGTTTAAAAAATATATGAACATCGACATCCCTTTGTTGTATTTTACAGTGTAAATAGAAACTATTTTAAGACAGGTCCTCCAGCTGCCAACGTAAGGCTGAAGTTGGAGGACAATTCACACTTCTCTGCTACCAGTGTAACCACGAGTTCAATTCTTTTAATAAGATTTACTGGTGATATTCAAACTAAAAGAAAATGGTCTATTCGGCTCAGCCCGTGTAACAGCAGCATACACATGGTCGTATATTTCTTCCACATTCCGCAGTTTATACAGTAGTATAATTTCTTTCTCCTCAGTCAGCCTAATGGCTCAAGGTTTCCATATGACTTTTTTTTTGCCAGGTCAGCAGTTTTAAAGAATTTCCAGTAGGGAAATTAGATGTAACCTTTGCTAGGAAAAAATAATAAGCAATTGGATGCAGCATAAAAGAAGGGCTACATTTCAGGCCACTTAAAACAACATGTTGCCCTCCCACTGTAAGATCTCTGACTGATCACATGTTGTATCATTTGAATGATAGCCCACATTTAAAAGAGAGGTACATATGTTGCTAAAAATGAATGGATTTTGAACAAAGGAAAAAACAGGAAACAATTTTGGAGCAATGAGAAGCGCTTATCCGGCAGTTTCTTTAGAAGCAATCTATAAACCATCAACATAGACTGTTACGAATTCTTAAAGCAGGTTTGCTTGACAGGCTGAATTATATCAACAGGTTGGTTTTTGGGCACACATTATATATTTCCTTTTTCATACTTTGAACTCAAAACCTACCTTGAGAATCTCTCTAACAGCTGCTTAATGCTGAAAAGTGTCTCCCATCAAAAAGACTTTCAAACTTCACAGATTTTTGTTAACTTTTAAATGATGTGAATAATTTAATAAAACCATATAAAAGATTATTTAATACTGTAAACATCTTGACTGATCTGTCACGTGTAGTCCTTTTATTAACAATTTATAAAGAAATCCATCATTTTCCTTTCTTTGGAAAGTAGGTTTTTAAAGGCAATAACTAAAGATCATGTCATGTGATTAAAGTATTATTAATGACACTTATAATGATGAGATTTGTGTTTAAGAAATGCGTTTGGAATGTGTCTTAAAACCAATGGGGGTCTTTTTCTTCATCGAAACCTACAGCACATTCTGGGAAATATTATAATCACGCTGCTTTTGTTGTGCCTCAAACGTCAAACAAAGAAATTTGAGAATTACAGAAGCTTTGAGATTTAAAGAAATCGGCACAAACGGGCTCTAACACTTTTCTGAAAGAATAAATCATGGAAGTTTGTTTAGTTATTCATTCAGCTGGAATGCTACTTTAGACGGAGTAGTTATAACGTGTTCATTTTGTATTATTATTTTTTTTCTTCTCTCTGTTCAGAATTGCGAGGCTTCAAGAACTCCTTCAAAGCCTGATGCATGTTGCAGCAGTCTGGCCCTTTGTTTTATTAGAAACAGTGAACCAGTAGTGCTGTGGAGCCACAGAATGATCGTCACTAGCGTTTGTCTGCTGCCAGTTGATTACACATACAGATAGAGCATTATTTAAGAACGGGAATGCGGCCATAACCTAAATAACTGTAATGGCAATTGTATCTATAAAGCATGTCATTAGATTTAAACGCAATGCACAAAACACAGACAAAGTCGGAGCAAACCACCAAAGTAATAGAAGTAAATACATGAGACAACTACAGGAGTAACACCTGAATCTATCCAACCCGGCAACATTCATGCTCTCTCTTTACCGTAATTCTTTAACCATTACAGAGCATTAATAAAATTAAATTACAATCACACAGCAGGTACATATAGAACTTTGCTTCCACAGACTAGTCTTTATGATGCCGGTAGGACCGACCTATCGTGGATCAGATTAATGCATCTCATTGACGTTTAGCAAAGCAGCCCAAATGTTTTAACGATGGACAAATTAGTTGTAGTTTACATCACATTAGCAGGCATGTTGTTCCAGAAAACTGGACCGAAAAGCAGAATTGGATGCAATTCTGGTAACAACTAACTAGAACTACATGTGGTGTCTTTTACCTGATCAGGTTGCAGTATATACAGTAAGCATCTCAGGCATGTACCAGGGGTTTAAATGGTGCTTTACGGACCACTAAGAGGATTATGAAATTGATTCTGCATTGAATGGGGAGCCAATAGAGAGACTTTATTACTGGTGTGAGACTTTTAAGCCTCTATGTGCTGTTTCTGCTGGCAGCTGTGTTCTTAATGAGTTGTGGCCATCCTACGGGCTGCTTCCTGCCCAACACAAATCCACAAATAAATTGTTTTTTGTTTTCTAAACATTATTTTTTTGGCCAGTGGTAGCGCCCATTTTTTGTATATGTAAAGATGTGCTACCCCTGGTGTAAAGCACTCTATGTGTATTATTAATGTTTTGTGTTCCTGTGCATTAAAGTGGAATTATTGAGGTGGTTGATCGCCAATCAAGAGACCACAGACAGAGCTTGAAGACTTGACCTGTAAATGTTGCCCGTAGCCTTGTATCGACTGGGAAGCATGAGGCAATTTAACATTTATCACGTATTCTGGAAAAATCTATATAACTTGTTCATTTTTTCCCCATTAGTCAAGTGATTCAAAGCGAAGTACAATAGAAAAGATATGGCTAACTCTAAAGGAATAAATGATTATTTGAACAGAAGATAAAAGACCCAACACAGTCACATTAGATGAAGGACGCTTCACAGCAACTGAAATGTTTTGAAAAAGTCAACAAAATAGCCGTGATTTCTCCCTTCACAGAAAGAAACATTCATTACTAAAATCTATTTTCCAGCTCCTGCATGCAAGGCTAAATTACTTTACTCCAACTCCTGGAATTATTTGTAAAATAGATGGTGGGGTGGTGGTGGGTGTAGGCGGGTCTAACTCACCCTCCCATGAATCTTTGGTCCAATGGGCAGCCTCCGCGTCGCCATATTGATCAGAATACAAAACATTGCAGAAGAAAGGGCAACAGCAGCAAACACAAGGCCCCAGGAGAGGCTGCAGAAGTAGCAGGAGCTCTCCGTGGATGTGCACACCAGAACGTGCACTGAGGCCAGAAGTAGGCATAAGAGGTAGAAAGGAAGGGAGAGCATTGAGGAGAGGATGGGGAGGTCCACTATTGCTTCACCACTGAGGGCTTCTGGCAGAGCCAGCAGTAAAAACAACAAAAGCTGAAAGGTAGGGAGAGGAGAAGGTTAGAATACTTTAAAAACATACAAAGTTTGCTATATTTGGCAAATTGGTTCCTCTTTTGCATGCTTGCCAATACCATAAGCTGAGTGTAAACACTGGTGGAACACTAAAACTGTTGCCCACCTGGAACACGAAGACCATACCCGCGATCATCGAGTACATGTCGTACTTGCCCAGCTGTTTGCTGAGGGCGGCGCTCATGGCAGAGAGGGCCTCCAGATACTGCTTCAGGACCTTTTTGCCCATGTTGCTCAGCACCTCAGAGGCGTTTCCTTCCATGTAAAGCTTCATCCAATTCCCGTGAGCCTTCTCTGCCACACGAAACTGCTCAAAACCTGCCGCTGGGTTGTTGGGAAACAGAGGGGGTTGAGTTTTATGCATCACTGTGGCTGAACTGTGGCTCACTTTTTTGCATACGCTTATTACCTAAATAGTATTTTTTTAGACAACTGTAAGCGTTGAGCTCCGACAGAGGATTTGCTGTTAGAGGATAATGAGCCACTGTAACACTTTTGATGCAATAACTGCTACAAAATCCTTCCAGCGACCGTTGATTGGTCAGCTTGTAAGAATTTTGAGTCCACAGCCTTAATAAAAAACAACAAATCAGCCATTCCAGAAACCCATTTATTTGAAAGAATATAATATGTGTATTGTTTCTGTATGGTCAACTTTCCCTTCAGAAATGAGACAATTTGTTTGAAAAATCCAGGAAATAATGTACAATCAATAAAAAGGACAAGAATCAGAGTCAGAGTTCAGTTACCCTATTCATGACTGCATTCATCTTAAATTTGATTAAATATCTGTTAAATTTATTCTTACTTAATGGTCTTGAATTGGCAGATATCCTTAAATTGCAAATAAATAGCTCCTAGGCTAAAAAAAAACCCCAATTCAATTTAATTCAACTCAATGTTATTTATATAGCACCAAATCACCACAACAGTTATCTCACAGTGCTTTACAAAAACAGCAGGTCAGACCGTACTCTGAAGTTATGTACAGAAGCCCAACAATTCCCCAAAACATGAGGTTCTATGTACAATTTGTCTGGGTCTGGGTTTCACTGTGAGGCTTTGGAAGCTAACTGAAGGACACTCCCAAAAACAACCGTCTGCACTAAAAGGCCAGTCTCAGCGGCATAAGCATGAAATTATGATTAAGGCTTTGTCTGACCAAAGGGTTTGGTACAAACACTGGAACCTGAAGTGACGCAATATCAATAACCCTGGCCATGCTCCATCTGTCCTCAAAGGACAGGGGTTGGCCGATGGCTCTTTAAGATACCTTTTTATTACCACTGCATTTTTGAAATTTTGATGTCTTCCAGGTTATTTTCACATGGAAATAAAGAAAAAAATGCAAAAAAACCCAAACACCCTACTTATACCAAACTCAAACTATGTGCAGCCAAATACTCATCTTTTCTATTTTAAATACCTTTCATCTTGCTGCTGAGACATAATCAAATACAATTTGACCCTAACAGGTGTCCAAACGACATATGACTTTAAATATCCCAGAAGAAATTCCCCAACATATTAGATTTCACAACGTTACTGCTTGTTGATTACCTGAGAGGTTAGACAATCAACACATGTAAATGTAGGACTGCTGAAATAATTTCCATTTCATACCATCACTATGGAAACCAGGGAGCAAAGTAGAGAGAAATAGTAAGCTTCCAGAGCACTGTTTTTTTTGTTAAAAATTCATAATTTGAGGCAGCACACTTGGTGTGGTGGTTAGCACCATCGCCTCACTGCAAGAGGGTTCTGAGTTCGAGTCCCCGGGAAAACCAGGACCTTTCTGTGTGGAGTTTGCATGTTCTCCCTGTGTCTGCTTGGATTATCTCTGGGTTCTCTAGCTTCCTCCCACCATCCAAAAACCTGCATGTTAGGTTAATTGGACATTCCAAATTGCCCTTAGGAGTGAGTGGTTCATCTTTGTGTGTCTCTGTGTGGCCCTGTGATGGACCGTTCAGGGTGTACCCCGCCTCTCGCTCATTGACTACTGGGTTAGGCTCCAATCCCCCCGTGACGCCATTAGGGAATAAGCCGTTACGAAAATGGATGGATGGAATTAATAATTTTTTACTTGCACTTTACAAACATCTGTAGTATTCTGCAAATGTTTGTCTAAATCTGTTGAAAATAACATAAGAAAAAGTCGTCTGACTTACTAAAGAGTATGAAAGTAAAACTGAAAAAGAAAGAAAGAGGGGGCCAATGTGTGTACAGCAGGGACAAAAATCCTCAGAGCTTACTGAATTAACCTGAAATGCTATGTGAGAAACTCCTTTAAAAAAGTAAATGCCTCCAGATCCACCTGGATCAGTACATGAGAAACAGTATGACCATGGAAGTATTCAGATGCATTTTTGCGCATGCGGACAATAGAAACTCAAACTGAACTTCCTAATAAATTTGGTCCTCTAATGGCCTTTTCCCACAAGTACCTACACTTGACTTTATTTGACTCAACATAGGTAGTTTTTCGTTACAAGTGAATACAAATTCATTTTGAGTGGGGTAGTGGCAGCAGGCCCGCCGGAAAGTCCTATAACTTCCGTTTTTGTGTAACAAAAAAAATCCATGCAAGAATTAAGAACATCACTGCATTATATATCTCCTGCATCTCTTCATATTGGTTTAGGTTTGTAGTAATTTACCCTATTGACAATCACAGAAACGCTCCATCCATTTTTGCTAGAAAATTGTTGGGGTTCTTGTATGAAGAACTCGCTTTCATGACTCATCCAGTGAGTGCAGTCTGTAGATGCCACCATATTAGAAACTGAGTAAATGTTAAAGTTTTAACTGGTAGCAGGTGCTGAAACCTAATAGGAAACCTATTAAAAAACATAAGTCAAGTTGTGTCAAATAGAGTCTACTGGCGCTTTTCCACTAGTACCTACTCAGCACAGCTTTACACAAGTTTTTTTGCATTTACACTAAAGGCTTTTCCCGCTAAACCGTTGCAACTTTAGCACCTTCTTAGATAGGGTTCCTTCAGGGCTGAGTAGGGGCAAAAGCAGACTGTTGAGGGCTGATTGGCCAGGGAGTCGCATGATTTGATAGTGGCAACATACAATTTCATTACTTGTCTGTTCATCAACGTTGTGATGCCTAATAAATTAATCAAGGTTCAGTCGGTGTATAGTTGCTGCAATGGCCTTCATTGTTGTCTCATGCCTGTATCAAGAATTAAATTATGTCACTGGCCAGTCGGCTGTCTTTCTGTTGGGCCGTATTTTGTAATGGAAAACCACTTACACTGAGTTGTGCACAGCCATGAAGGGCTGAGCAGATACTAATGGAAAAGCACCATAATCAAGCCAAGCAGTTACTAATGGCATAAAAGGAAAGTGCATGGTGGTATCTGTCCTATTTTTGTATTGATAGATTACTGTTAAATGTATTAGTTTTTGTTGAATGGTTTAGCATGCAGAATGCTAGTGAGAGCTTAATACATTACATGGATAGGGTTGATGGGAATGATATTAACTTTCACCCCTTTCAATTCTGATACAATTGTTGGATTATCCTCTTAGGTTATTTTTTACAATTCTGGCTAAACGCATTTTTGAAAACCCATTTTAAAACAGGTCTGCTCAAAATGTCAATGTGTGGATAGAGAACTTTATTGCTTTACAAGGTCTGGCTGCAGAACCAACACATCCCTAAACTATTTCCAGCTCCTACTCGGGGATATTAAAACCATTGGATCTATAATCCCTCCAGCAAGTTCTAAGTCTGCCCTGGGGCTTCATCTCCATTATATCTGGCCAGAATACCGCCAAAGGGAAGCGAAAAGCCTTTCGTAAAAGTAGTGCCTCTCCTCAAAAATTCCCTCCGAATGGTCAAGCTCTTCACCCTCTATCTAAAGTAAACCCATTTCAGTAGCTTGATTCAGCAACCCCAAAACAAATTTTGGACCGATCTGGTCCTGTCATTTTTGCCAAGGCATTTTCCACTTTAGAGCCATTTCCATGGATTAAAAAACCTTGGCACCATGTATTTACTAGTTTGGGAGTATTTTGAATGTAGCATTTAATAAATGAAGTCAGTTCTAAGAAAGACAGCTTTAAATTGTAGCCAAATATAAAAATGTCCTGTTTGAAATCATTTGTTCTGCTATTCCTTTGGGCATTTTATTGCCCCCTTCTGGCACTTACAAAGAAAAAAACTAAATAAATAACAAAAGAAAACAACTGGCAGATTCCCTCTGACCAATCAAACATTAGTTGTTGAGTAAGTGAAGGACAGCATCAGAGACTGAAGGAGACAGATGGATAGGGCTGGTAGAGAGGGGGCTCAAAGATAGATAACTCTGACAAACAGTCTGACCCCGAGATATAAGTGGAGAGGGAAACTGTGTGAATATATGTGCATGAATTTGCATAAAGGGTAGAAAAGCATTAATGTTCAAGAACAGATGACAAACTCAAAGTCTTCCGGGAAGAGTTTTCATGTTTTAAAGGACATTTATGCCATAAGGGGTCAGCTCAGACAAGGTTTACTTTGAGACACTCCTGTGGGAGCCTTGTACGTCTTTTTATATTCACAAAGTCCCTTGCGAAAGTATTCAGCCTCCTTGAACTATTTGACCTTTTGCCATATTTCAGGCTTCAAACTTAAAGATATAAAATTGTAATTTTTTGTGAAGAATTCAAAAACAAGTGGGACACAAACATGAAGTGGAACAAAATTTATTGGATATTTGTAACTTTTTTAACAAATAAAAAACTTGTTATTCAGCCCCTTTACTTTCAGTGCAGCTAACTCTCTCCAGAAGTTCAGTAAGGATCTCTGAATGATCCAATGTTGACCAAAAATGACTGATGATGATAAATAGAATCCACCTCTAGTTAATCAAGTCTCTGTAATGCATCTGCTCTGTGATAGTCTCAGAGATTTGTTTAAAGCGCAGATAGCATCATGAAGACCAAGGAACAAACCAGGCAAGTCCGAGATACTGTTGTGGAGAAGTTTTAAGCCAGTTTGGATACAAATCTAAGAGGACCCGGCCATCCCTCTAAACTTTCAACTCAAAGAAGGAGAGAACTGATCAGAGATGCAGCCAAGGCCCATGATCACTCTGAATGAACTGAGTGCAACAGTGTTCAGTCATATTCAAAAAGACTAAAAGGGGATTATTTTGGAATTGCTATTTGAATGAGTGTTAAGGAGCGGTTCTTCTATCGGAAATGCGGCATAAAAAAAAAACTTTTCTGTGATGGATTTCAGTTGTACCTGGCTTAATTAGCTCAATCTTTTGAACTTCTGAGATGATTCCACCCTCGTTTGAATCAGTCTGCTTCAGGTTAAACATCCAGAGAAGCGGCTTTGATGCATTTGACTTCTGCTTGGAGGGAACTGTTTCTTAGTCATTTTAGATCTACACCATCTGCTAAGGGTGCAAGTTGGAAATAATTTCCTTTACAAATTAACTATCAAAAATCGATACAGTTGGTGTCCTTTGAACATGCAAAAACACTTTATATTCACTGCAAGCTGGGCTCAATTTAAACCATTCGTAATTAATAGGTGAAGCTGCAAAACACTTATGCTATTTAAAAATTCATAATAGATAACCTGCCCCATAAAAACAAAAATAAAACAGCAAAGGATCCCTTTTCCTCTAGTGCATAACCCAATACATTGTACTAGACACACTATCTGATGCTTGCTATGTAGTTAACCTGAGATCTGCAGGAAGCAGCTTATCAGGCAGGCATAGGGCTTGTTTTGCAAATTATATGAGTGATAGACCTGTGGCTCATCTAATTTCCAGTAAAAAATACATCCCATGGAGGTGCAACCGGGTATTGCAGTGAAATTACTCTGTAGAGCTCATCAGATACTCAATACCATTCAACAAAAATAAATTACAATAACAATCCTTATCTGCACCAAACTGTGGGCGTAACACCAACAGGACAGTCATGCAACATAGAGAGAGCTGTTCCTTCTTACTATATTTCCACATCCTGTGTGGAATTCCTGTCTGCAACTCAGGTTGGCTTTAAACGTTTCAATTCAAATCCACCATATGAACTCGTCACAAGCATTTTTGAGCGTCACCATCACTGTACTGGGATCAATATTATTCAAAGTTGAAAACTTCGGAAAAATGATCCCCAACACAGCAGCAAATCTACAACAGAACGTCTGATAAAAGAGAAGAATTGTGGTGGTGTGTGATGATCCTCAAAAGAGCAAATTTCAGAGAACTTTCCTAGAAATTATGACGTCTTGAAACATCGCATAAAATCAATTTTTAAGAGGTTACTGCCATCAAGCGTGGTTTAAAAATCCCGTGCTTTACTTACTTTTTCACCTTCTTCTTTACCTTTTAGCATAGTTTTTATTAAATAAATAGCTCATTGTCATAGTGATGATAAATGTAATATTGTGTCTACTCTGTAAGTCGCTTTGGATAAAAGCATCTGCCAAATGCATAAACATAAACATAAACATAATGAAACCATGTGATACATCTGAAGTTGTAAGACCAGTTGTTTAAAATAACATGTTCTGGTATGTAGGATAAAAAAAGTGCTCTTTCCCCTTTTCAAAGGACTATAAATTTGTTTTATCAGAAAACATAACGGTTCTCAATTTACTAATTTAACAATGAATCTCTATCACGTCTTTAAAAATTGGTTATAGGGCTGAGATGTAACAATTGGAGTGTTTAACAGTTCCACAGACTTGGGCACGAGTTGTGACTGACACCATGCAACACCAGAAAGAGGAATGCACCTCATTTCGCAGTGAGCTGCACCTAATATGATGTGCCAAAAGCCTCACTGCTGTGTCACTAAAAAGAGAAAGGAAAAGTCGCCACTGCAGTGTAGCAGCCTGGAAATATAACAGCAAAATGATGAGACTAGCTGTCAGGTAAGGTCCTGGCTCTCAGTCAAGAGGTGCAGCACAGTGAAGTCCTCACTCACCTTTCTGGTAGTCAGGCATGCTGTCTTTGAGCAGGCAGCTGAGCTGGTGGCCATTGAGATGCAGGAAGCGCAACTGGTCTCGGAGTGAGGTTTCCTCCAAGGCAGCCGGAATGACGTGACCCACGTTGTTTTGTGATATGGGCAGACCCAATCCCAGGGCCAGTGTTGGAGTCAGGTCAACCTGCTCCACAACTCCAGGCTTCTCCATTCCCACTGTACGTGTCAGGGGAACAAACAAATAAGCAGAAGAGTGAAAGTCAGTGTGCTGCTAAGAGCACAAAGCTGCTCTGGAGCAGAAAATAAGGTTATATTCTATAAACCTCCCTGAACAGAGAACAGGGGAAACTTTACTTCAGCATAACAGAGGGAAATTAACAGCAAAACTGAGCGTGCATTCAGAATTTGCCCAATATCACTTCAAGGAAACCTATATTGCAAGAAAGAGCTATGGTGTAAAGAGCTGCCACCTTCATACTGCAGTACTTTTTTCCCCTTAAAATGCTGCAATGTCAGGCTCCAAAGATAGAGTGATGCCGAAAAGCCAGCCGAACGTGAAATCAGAGCATCATTCTGCGATGGTGGGACTCTATATTGTTTTTTTCTTCATAGTAAGTCACAATTCATTTAAGCTGTAGCTCCGTCTGTAATAGTAATTTAAAAATAACATTTTCATTAAAGGTGTGGAAAAAAAAAAAAACTGAATCGCCACCTGTCAGAGGTGGAGAACATTGTTGTTTACACACTAGGAGCTTGTCTCAAAGCATTTCACAACCGTCATCAGGATAAATCTGGCAAAAGATGCCATTCTCTCCAACTCATAAACCTAACAAAAACACTAAGAGGGAACGTCCCACGGCTTTCAATTACTTGGAAGTCAGAGCCGGTGAACATGAATTTAATGATGCATTTTACTGTCATCACAGGAGCCGCTGAATCTGAATTTTTTTGTTTTTTCCCCGCAGTTAGACAGGCACACAGAACAAACAATAAAGTAACCCTGAGGAAATGTGTGAAACAGCTTTAGTACATTTCTGACTTTTAGTTTTTTGGTTGGAATCAGGGCAAGGTTCATTGGATCGAAACAAACATAAACAGAAAAGGTTTCACGAGTCGTCCGGATCATTAATCTCCCGTCAATACCCGCAAGGAGGGTTGTCAACAAAACAACAAAATCAAAAATGAATAACGTTGACATCTAGTGATTTGAGGTGTTCATCATTTCTAAGCGCCTCTCCTGTCAAGTGCGTCTGTGTTGGCACTCGACTTCTGAGGAAACAAACGTGCGAGAGTACTAGGTTGTCTGTGCTTGAGTGAAGTTTTTAGGTTGCAGTAATAAATCAACCCTGGTGCTAAAAACATAAACAACAACAAAATATTTAAATTTAAAATACGTTCATGAGTTTCTGGAAGTGACACAGCCGAGAGATTAAAGTGCTGTGAGCTAATTTGGATATTTGACACAAGTAAATGTTCTGTGGAATAGTCCATTTCATACGGAAAGGGAGACGGATTAGCAGCGACAAAGACTCTCCTGAATGAAGCCTTTGGCTAACAGGGTATTTCAGGCCCGCTTAACTTTTGCCACTCTGTGCTACAGCAAAGCAAACTCACTGATACAAATATCCATTTCCTATACCATGGATAAAATTCCTTCTCAGTTCCTTCCTGGAGAAAAATATGCTTTATGTTGTGCATAAAAAGACATGCTTCTGGCATAAACACTGAATGCTTAATCTAGTGGGCTAATTTTACATGAAAAACATGTAATGTTTTGTCGAACTGGCAGACAAAACCAAGTGCAGCAGAATAGCACGACGAAGAGGGACAACAGTAATTTATCTTCAAGACAACGACGGACGACAACACAGAGCACAGCTACGTGATGCACTGTACATGCCATCATACCCACACAACATCTTCTCAGTGGCGAGGGCAGTAAATGGAGGGCAACAATCACCTTCAAGAAAGAAGGCAGTCACATAATCACAAAGGATGATAGCAGGTTTGATATTCATGAAAATGGATACCACCTTCCGACTATTGACAAATGTTTAGCTTGTCATGAAATAAAAACGTGGCATGAAATTTTGGGTCAATGCAATTATAAGAGGCTAGGGCAAATGCCAAGTCCTCAGTACTTATCCTCCTTGACTTATCAGCCGCATTTGACACAGTCAATCATGACATCCTTCTGTCTATACTCTCGAGTATGGGCATAACAGGGAGAGCACACTCCTGGTTTGAGTCGTACCTCACTGGTCGATCATTTAAAGTATCCTGGCTTGGTCACACTTCTGCAGTGCACCACCTTGCCACAGGGGTTCCTCAAGGTTCAGTACTTGGACCTCTTCTCTTTGCTATATATACCACTTCCTTGGCCCAGATCATTCAATCACATGGTTTCTCCTACCACTGCTATGCTGATGATACACAGCTCTATCTGTCATTCCCACCTGATGACCACTCGGTCTCAGCACGCATCTCAGACTGTCTCTCTGACATATCAAAATGGATGAAAGCCCACCACCTCCAGCTGAATCTCTCAAAAACTGAACTGCTTGTCTTTCCAGCCAAACCAACTATTCACCACAATATTCACATCCAAACTGAATCCCTCTCTCTGACTCCATCAAAGGCAGCAAGAAACTTGGGTGTCATGATTGATGACCAGCTGACCTTTAAAGATCACGTTGCCTCTGTTTCTCGATCCTGTCGCTTCGCATTACTAAACATAAGAAAGATCCGGCCGTACCTAACACAACATGCTACCCAGCTCCTGGTGCAGTCTATGGTCATCTCCCGCCTAGACTATTGCAACGCACTCCTGACTGGTCTCCCGGCCTGTACAGTAAAACCTTTACAAATGATCCAGAACGCGGCGGGGCGTCTGGTCTTCAATCTGCCCAAAAAATCTCACGTCACCCCTCTGTTCATTGAACTCCACTGGTTACCTCTGGCTGCCCGTATCAAATTCAAGTCCCTGATGCTAGCCTACAAAGTGCTTAAGGGTATGGCTCCCATCTACTTGAATCCCCTTGCAAAGGCTTATGTCACAACTCGATCACTCCGGTCATCAATGGATTGTCGTCTAGCAGTGCCTTCACCACGCTTAAGACAATCCAGACTGTTTGCATGTGTCGTTCCAAGATGGTGGAACGACCTACCAAGCTCCACAAGAACAGCAGAGTCCCTGTCTGTTTTCAAGAAACTCTTGAAGACCCACCTCTTCAAAGAGCATCTCCTATCCTAACCCTAACCCGTACCTCTACCCCCCCCACAGCTCCTTCTGTAGCCCCTCTACCTCTATCTCTATCTCACCACTGACTCTGATCAGTGTTTCTGTTCTATAAAGTTTATTGTCATTGTGATGAGAAATGCAATATTGTGTCTACTCTGTAAGTCGCTTTGGATAAAAGCGTCTGCCAAATGCATAAACATAAACAAACAAACATATTACGTACAAAATTTGCTAAATGATGCAAAGGGCATGGTGATTAATGGGAGTACAGTCAGACCAGCTGTGACATGTGAGGTGTGTACACAGGGTAAGTTTACACTGACTAGAAATTGAGAGCCAGACAGAAAAGCTACAAAACTTTTACAGCTTGTTCATACTGATTTGGCAGGCCCATGAAAACCTCAAGCATTGATGGGCACAGATATAAACAGTATTTTACAGATGACAATTCAGGTACCACATTTGTGCATTTCCTACAAAAGTGATGCCGTGAAAGCCACAGGGAGATTCCTGGCTGATATAGCACCCTATGGAGAAGTAAAGCGTATCTGTACAGACACCTGTACAGAGTTAACACACAGAGATTTCCAAGGACTGCTAACCAAGAATAGGATTAGATATGACAAGTCTGTACTCCATTCACCTTACCAAAATGGAACAGCTGACAGAGGCTGGTGAACCCTTTACAAGATGAGCAGATATTTACTGTAGAGAGTAAACTTCCAGTAAACCATGGAACTATGCTGTACAGACAGCAGCCTATGTAAGAAACAGGTGCTGCATCAGACGATTAAGAAAACACAATACGAGTTGTTCACTGGTGTGAAACCTTATGTTTCCAAACTGCTGAAATTTGGGGCTATGTGTTTTGCCTACAAGCAGGAAAAAGAGAAGTTAGATCCCAGATGTGAACAAGGTATTTTTGAAGGTTCTGACAAAAACAGCCCAGCCTATTTGGCGCATTAAACAGACTCAGACAAAATCCCAAAACACAGATTAGTGAAGTTCACAACCAAAACAGCTAAAGAAAAAGAGACACAAACATCTGAGTCATACATTGAGTATTATGATTGAAAGGTACATTCAATGGTTCATGACAGTGAAGAAAAAGAGAATGTCTGAGATTTTACCAGAACAGGCTGAAGTTACAGAAGAAACTGATTGAAATTAGAGAACAATTTGTAAACAGCTGATTTTTTCTTGGCCATAATTTTGTCGCCAAGGATTTTCCAGAGGTTCATCATCAAACATCAGGAGCTCTGAGCCTGCCAGCTCGTCATCACCATAGTCAACATCTCCTCCCGGCATGTAGGAGTCAGAAGCAGCAGCACCTATGCCATCCTCGTCCACCACATGCAGTGGGGAAACGGGGGCTAGGGGTTGGAGGTTTGCATACGCCCAGCTCGGGCCAGGTATGGCAGCCAACGCCTCAGGCATGTCCGCATCTTCCTGCGCCTCTGCTGCTTCGCTCATCAGTTGCAGGCTGCGCTGCGCAGTGGATGCACTCGTCTGTGGACGTTGAGGCAGTCTGGGCATCGTGTAAACCCAGACACGACGCACACACAGGATGATTGCCCAAGCACAAGATTTGTTTCCCGAAGGGACAAAGTCTCGTGCCGTTACCCCCTTCGTTGGGGTTTGTAGCCGTAGCCATGGTTAGCTAGTGAGGACTAGCGGGGTTTATGTCCCTAGGAGCTTGTGCAGCTTCCTAGTGACAGAAGCTAGTGTGAGGTACAAAGTAGTGCTACTTTATACATTCTATTTTCAGGTATTTCTACCAGTGAGGTAGCTAGATTGCTGCTATCAGGTATTGCTACCTAGTCGCCATGATGCTAGCAATACCTTGATGTTTAAAGTAGTGATACTTATTGTAGGAGAGTTTTGCTACTCCCTGGAGCTTGGTTAGTATTGCTATTAAACAGATAGGACAGTATTGCTATTCCAACAAGTGTGCGTCTTGGGTTTTGTACCCAAGTCTGTGGACTGTTAAGCTCGACATTCAGTAGGACAGTTGTTGAGGCCTCTGTGAGAAGCGAGAAGATGTTTTTGAATGACAAGTGAAGCTATGTCAGCCTTTTATATAGGAGGATGGTCCCATCCCACCCTGCCTTAGACTGTCACTTTTGCCAGCCAATCAGGGCTGGTGTAATGTTGTTTGAGCTTCTGATGAGGTCACGCAGGAGGCGTTCCCCATAGAGAGACATGAAACAAATGCCATTAAAGAGAACTTATTTAAGCTCACAAGATGTCAGCAACTGTTGGCCATACGTCTGTGCATAGACTGTGTGCGCTGAAAAGTATGTAAAGATATTAGTTGAAATGGGCCCGAATTTATAGCCTTGGAGAAAAATACACAATTCAGCATCAGTGTGATATCTGACTCAACTGCAATTGATACAACTTAAGCTATAAATAAGAAGATCCCAAAGGTGACCAGGTTATTCATTTTAACCTTGCGGGAGGCAAAAAACTCAACCAAGAAGTCTAAAGCACCAAACTTAACTGAAGTGTTAAGTGTTTAATTGGCATCAATGGTGCAAGGTATAAAAAAAGAAGTCTCAAAAATAGTCAATTATCACACTCACACTTTCACTCAGCCTCATTCATCCCTGCAGAGCTCGTGTCTGTTTGGGGGCATCTATTGGCACATGGCAAAGTGATCCTCACGCCTGATGTGACTGTATGTGTGGAGGAAAAAAAAAAAAAAGCTTCTTTCCGAAGTTTAATTTCATAACCGTTGGAATTTTTTTTTTTATCCATTTAGGGTAAAAAATATATATATATGTGTAAAAAGCATATTGGGTCTTTTCAAGTTAATGATGAGTCTGCACAAGATAGTTTACCTTTCCTTTTGAAGGCCGGGCTTACAAGGACCAGAGGAGTATTGATTTCCGGCTCAGAGGAGCCACCGTGGCTGCCAGTCTCCGACATGCCGTGGTCTCCGCACAGCACCATCAGGTAGGGCAGGGATCCTTCTTCCTCCTGAGAGAAGCAAACCCCAGGGTTAGTGAAGCTCCTTTTAGCTGATTCAGTTATTTCCTTTTTCCTGGGCATGAAAGCCATCCTCTTTGGTAGCCTTTTTTCTTTCTCCACACTTCAAATCAAGCCTTTCCTTACACAAACTGACAGCGCTGAGGCAGATGGTGGCTTGTGTTCTTCAAGAGCAAGCCGCAAAATAAAAAGAGTGAAATTACCTCCATTTCACAGTTCGTGACTTCAACCGAAAGAAGTTGGGATATTGCTGAGAAGCTCGGGGAAACAAGCTCGTCCTGAGAAGTTCAAATTTAAGGTTTACTCATAAAGTAAGAGTCACTTCCAAACCAAACCAAAGAGGTTAGAATATTCAGTGACGTTAGAGTTGGAGGAATTACAACAGCTACAAATATTGGGTACATTCATCCATTTTCTGCCCAAAGACACATCCTTAAGATGTCCTTACCACATGCTTCTTTATGACCCTGTTCGAAAGATTATGCCTTTACTTTAAACCTATCTCCTAATGAGGTAAGCAGCGGTAGAAGAAAAAACAGCATAAAAAAGAGACAACTATCCAAAAAAAGAAAAAGAAAGTTTATTACCGTATATTCATCTCTCAAGAGCTTGAATAACTTGTCTTTGTGCTGTTTGAATTTAAGATGTTTTGCACTTCAAACGGCAAATCCGAAACCAACCATCAAATTTAAAATTTGAAGTTGGAGAAGATTGAGGCCATGTGCCCTCTATTAACAGGCAGGTCTGACGGAGGTCCTTCCGACCAGGATGTCAGGCTTCTCAATCTTGTTTTAATGGATCATATCACTGCCGTTTGCTCTGCAGGTTTCTCTGGCCCCTGGTGAGAGCTCACTGAGATATGAGGCCTGTAAGAAGTTTAGAAGATGTCCCACAAGGCCACAGGAGGGGCGTGTCTATATTTAGGATTTCACTCGAAGAGCTCACTTGGAGCATGTGTGAGGCTGCAACATCCCATGATGCATAGATGACGCCATGAACTTGGAGAAGCATGTTTAAGAGACGAATCATCAACTTTTCGAATGCGAAAGGTATAGTTTCCAAAAGAGATCTGCTGCCATACACTATGCTCAAAAAAGCAAGGGGAGAAGAGGGCGGGTGAAGATTTGTGTTAGCAATCTATGAAGAAGATGCACGGCAGAATGACAGTGAGACAATATCAATTAGCAGCTTGGGTGCTGTGAAAAGACAATATGCATGAACAGCTGTCAGATCAGGTCTAAAAAAGACACACAAAAAAAAAGAAATAGCACAGTATGTGCAGGCTAAAAAACAAATTAAAGATAACAAAAGGTGCTGATAGTTTATTAAATCTCTAACATCACCGTAGCAGATAACATCCGAAATCCAACCCACACACAGCAAAATTACACTTACAATTAAATGACCGATGGTGCTAAATGTGCACCGACAGCATTGCATTAATATATCAACTGTTGACCATTTTGTCGCATTTGTAACTTTTTTTTTTTCCTCCCACCTGTGATTTCCCTGAAAATACATTTAAAATGTAATTTGCTATGCTAGGTTCAATGTCTTCAACAAGGAGATACTGCCACAGTGCATTAATTAAGATGGTCAATTTCTCCTTCCCCTGTGGATTCATAAGTTTGTAAACTTGTGCAGTGTCAGTGTCAGTTTCTGATCTTGTATTTCATATTAACATGCTCAGTCAATGTCCAAATACATTTGAGTAGCAGAAGCTAAATAACTTTTTAAATAATTAGGTATTAATATAGTTGCTCAGCAGACATAGCAGCTCTGCTGTGACATGATTCACATCAATATTCCCACTATTTACAGGTTCTCTTTGGAGTTCCTCTGCAGCTTAATGCTCCATTTTGTTTGTAAGTTGGTCACCGGGCGTTTCTGCCTGCTGAATGCTGCAACAGTCGACGGGAGGTTGTTGAAAAATGATGATCAACCATTGTAAAAAAACAGAATCTGTAAGCAAAATATATGAGTAAGACTGAGGGATGCTGAAATGTTGCTTCACACGAAAATCTAAAAGTCTTTGTTAGTTTTTGACCACATGACACCTCTGCAGGAGATAAGCTTGAACAAATGGAATTCAGATTATGAAAAAACTGGGACATTCCATACATATCATATTGAGAAAAAACTTGAGCCTCTGTTAATTCTATTAATGCAAGGAAAATGGGTAACACTAAACAGAGAAGGAAAAAAAAAAAGAGGAAAAAAAAGTTTATGCAATTACATTGAAGTTGAAAGTCAAATTTGGTGTGAGCTCCTTTAATTTCCAACACAGCCTGAACTTCACCTTTTTTGATAAGCTTTCAGTCTTCTTTCTTTAAGTAGTCTAAAGGAAGAATTCTCCAGGCTTTTTGAAGGACTTCCAAAAGCTCCTCTGTGTATGTTTACAGAATTATGTCCTAATCTCTTGTCAGGATGAACTTGCACTGTTTTAATAATGCTAAGGTCTGAGCTCTGGGCTCCTGGGAGGATTCAACCCTCCATCATGTCTGCAGCCACTAATTTCATTCCACTCCTAGTGTCATTAAGCATTGCTCCTTTTTCCTTTTTCTGCTCCTTCCATAACAATGGCTCAGCCGTACTTGTCGCGTTCCCTCAAGTTTGTTTCAAGTGCCTGATTCTGACATGTGAAAGTATTGTGTTTTTTTTTGCAAATTTCACTGTGGGGATGTTTTTGAAGTCAAATTGCATAATCCTTTAGAAAATGTTTCACAGTTGTAACTTGAAAAAACAACTTGTGTACTTTTAAATTTGTCTAATAGTGGGGTTTCAAAAGCAGTGTGAATGGATTAGTTTCCTGTTATGAGTAGAAACCACGCTGGCTCACCCCTTGAGTTGGAAGATTTTTGTAGGCTCAAAGGGGCCACAAGTTGTTTTGAAAACAAATAAAGCAGGATGAAAAAAGTGGAAAAGGGAGTCAATTTCTACAGAAAAATTTTCAAAGACTTTCAGAAACCCTGGAAAACTATTCCTCGGGACCATGTTAAAAGATAAGAGGAAAGTCTGGCTGCCTGGATGAAAAATAATACAAAGATACAAGGATTGGCTTCAGACATTTGCTTTCTACAGTAAACAGAAATTAAAAAAGGTAAAGACCTTTGAAACTAGGGCGCCGTGGATTCTCTTCATGATGTCGTCCATCTCCAGCAGCTTGGGCTGAATGAGAGAACTGTGAGGTCCGCTGATGTGGCCTATGTGATCCAGGCCCAGGTAGTGGAGGATCAGAATGTCCCAGTCGTCTCTCTTAAGGGTGCTATCCAAGTGGCGGGTGACATTGTTGTCAACCTGCATCAGAAAGAGTTGACACATCCATTCCTGTGCAACGTTACAGGTGAAATACGTGTGCTTCGTTTGGGTTAATAATCCCACAGCTGTCACTTCAATGCTTTTTCTGCTTTAAACCTTCTGAAGCATCAAACATCTCCTCAGCATGACAGCTGTGCCGTCTGTGAGTCACATAGAGCCGAAAACCATATGACAAAAATGGATTTTAAATGTTTTTCTTATTGCTTTAATCTATTTTGATGAGTCATATGTTTTTTTTTTTTTTTTACAAGATTCTGCATCTTCTAAGGCTCTTGCTCTCACTCTAGAATTTTATTAAGCAGAAAGAAACGCATCCTTTTTATTTGGTTTTGTGTGTGACCAAACACAGGCAGCTTAACCCCTCACGTACCTCGGTGTAGTCTGACACGAAGAACGAGGTGGTGCCGTCGTACTCCATGAAGTGTTTGGGGAAGAGGCGCACCCAGGTGTCGTCTCCATAGAAGACAATCCTCTTCCCCGCCGTCTTGGCTTGCCAAATGAGGTTGTCCTCCAGCAGTGCTGGGGAATTTAGATTCATTATCACATCAATGAAGCCCGGAATACTGCCAGTGGTAATGGCCTGGGGAGAGATAAGATCCCGTCAGTCTTTTGAAAAACAATTGTTGTTTAAAAGGTGTTACACAACCTCAAAGTTTCATCACATCCAACCTGAATAATAAAGATTCGAGGTCATTTTAAAAAATCCTCGTAAAAGTATCGAAAGGTATCGAAAGGATCAATTCAACTTCGGTGTGATTGGTCACCGTCTTGACTTCACACAAGACCAGAACCAAGATTTACCTACATCACAAACAAAGCCTGACTCATGCAGAAAGATAATATTGATCTGAGAAAATTGCTGCAAATTTCATCATGGAATCCAAATCATAAAATAAAAATAAAACAACAACAACAACACTAGCCTCCATTTGACTGACAAGGAAGCCTCGTCCTGATGTGGTGGCTATGAAAGCGTCTGCTGCATTGCTGAAAGGGAACTACGAAGCCATCATCTTCATGTACTCAAGGATACCGGAGTTGGAAAAGGCTTTCATTTACTGCCCCCAAAAGCAAAACTCAGGTTTTAAGAGGCCAGGCTTTATGTACGATGTGAGGGCTGGGAAATACTCCTAAATCCCTTATTTGCCTTTTATCTCTAGGCGTTGTGGTGCGTTAGGGCTCGTATCAAATGCCTTTTTGAAGTTGTTCCTTTTGTAAAGCTTTTAGCGCTGAGGCACCCCAAACAAACCCTTTTTTGCGGTGCTGTTTGAAAGCCAACAAATATGTTCGCTGTTAAACTCTCAGAAACGTCTGTAGATTCTTAAAAATAAAACTCATCAAGCGAATCCGTGACTCATCAACTTCCTAATTACCGGCCCTCAGTGTGTGTCGAAGCTTGCGATGTGCAACCGAACAAATGTCAAATGCGACATCAGCGGGGTGTACAGACGCTCTCTGGCATGCTGATGAAAAACTTGTAAAGGTGCCAGAACGCAAATGGAAGGGGCTTGGTTTGGAGAGCTCAGTCTCCTCTCGGTGATTATTCTCTGTTTGCCACTGAATGGGAGACTTTCTACTTTTAGCAAAAATATAACCCCCAATCTCCCCGAAACCATTAGCACCGAGACACCTATGGAGCTAATGCTGCCGAACTGCACTGGATTGGGCAGATATCAGACACTCAAACACCCACAGCGTACCGCTGCCACCGCCATGAAGAGCTGAGTTTATTGTTTGAATGCAGCTACTCGGTTAGGTTCACCAATGCTGAGGGCAGAGTTTGGCACAACTGGCCAGATGTGGATGCTTTCCTTTTCTAGGGGTGCCTATGCTTGCTATTTTCATGGGAAATTATTAACTAACAATGAGGATCTGGGACAATGTTTGCTGCCTGGTCTGAAATAAACAAAATCAACAGAAGAACCACAAAACCAAGTAACAAAAATCTATCTTTGGTCACATGAGGTTATAAATTAGTTGCACTAGGACAAGGCTTTCATTCTAACCCACAGCTTTTAGAGCAGTGGCTATAAAAAAAAAGTGTATATCACTGCGATGTGCCATTAAGAGGTTGTTATTAAGGTTAGTTGGTTTTGTCACATCAGTTAATTGGGTGCAATGCAGAGATACAGGGCTGTATGAAGCAGCTGGTATGTAATGCCACCTACTGGTGTGTGACTGACCCACAAGTCAGAGACCATTTCAAAGTAAAACTTCGCATCACAAAAAACAAAGTGGATTAGGTACAGTCTTGTAGCAAAATGGTTCCCAGTTCGAATACCTCTCTCTACCTCAGTAATGTCTTTTTTGCCATCCCAAAAAAAACTACTAAGCTTAGCAGTGTTCCAGAATCTTTCTAGCCACCTTAATTTTACTATTGTCAATTTGCACACCAAGGTGCTGAAAAGGGGAAGGTAACCATTTTGGTTTTGCGTAGATAGGCCTTAACCTTTGTCTCAGAGACTATCCAGCATTGTAGATTGCTTTCATTCAAACTTTTTCATTTTCTCTGGTCTCTCTGTGTTTTACGAATATGAACTAATTACTGCTTTTTTTAGTAGAAATGCCTTATTAGTTAGTTCAGCCATTCTGTGAATTTGTGATTTTTTAATTTTATTTTTTTCATTTGTGAATTAAAAATAGACATACATAGATAGATTTGAGCCTATGATGCATTAAATAATTCTCCTGAACCTTACTAGAAATTATTTTTGGATTTTTTAACCAAGTATCCAACAAAATGATGTGCCATTATAAAATCAAAAAAATTTTCTTTGAGCACTGAGTAAAGGAAGCCTGCAAAAATCCATATCAATGTATGACTGTTGGACATAACATCTATCTACAACTGTTTCATTGAACAACTGTCCAGACTTGTGCGATCGAATTTGACTTACAAAACGTGATATATAAGCAATTACTAGAGGCTTTAAAAAATGCAAGAAACAACAACCAATAGCTCCAAAGTAAAAATCCCCAAAAGATTCTGAAGAGTTTGTTTATTTAGGTTAATCTTTTCTCAAGAATAACCCTGAAGTGATGGGGCAATTGAGGGGGGGAAAATGGTTGTGCATCCTTTCCCCTCTTCCTCTAAACCCTTGGATTATGATGAAACATATGTCTCCCTGCACGCACAAATAAATCTCCATCCTCGCGCCCATCCCCCAGGTCCGAGTGCCGAGATCAACTGTTTTCTGTCAAAACGGCCGAATCTGTGCGAGTTTCATTTATGACTTCACAAATCAGGCTCGCTCCATCCTCCAAATAGACGCAGGAAATTATGATTTGGTTAAAAAGGATTTACAGTAGGAGCATAGCCTGAACATGATGAAACACAGACAGAATAGGTGGATTGTAAAGGAATGGAGTGCTGTCTATTGAGTCAAACACCTGTTTTGAGGTTTCATTAAAGTTCAAGCAATAGAAGACACTTCTTTGTTCTTATTGTGACTTCTCCGTGGACTCGAGCAGACCTCCTTAACAACAGAGGAATAACTAATATGGTCCCATGTGGAAAATGGTAGAATTTGTTGTTTTTATAAGGACTGAAGATTTTTTCTACTGAGAACTTTTTTCGCCTTTAAGAAGAGATAGACAGTTCGTAACAATGGGGGAAAAAAGGGGGGGGGGGTGTAGATATGTGTATCGCATAAAATTTTCTAACAATCCTGGACATTTTAGAAAAAAATATTTTCAGAACTTTTACTATATAAATAGTGACACAGCATTCATTAAAATGTCAGATAGCTTTAAAAATAGTTTATTCATATGTGCTAATAAAATGGGAAGTTTTATTGTAACTTTATGAAAACCATGACCATCTTCCTGATTTTTCCTCCTTCATACTGTACGTTATTCTCTGCCCACTGTTTTTGACACCGCCAGCCATCCACACTAACTCCCACATTGCTGAGTCGGCATTCTGATGGCGCCTATTCTACTTCTGATCAAATTTATAAGAACTCGTCCAAAAGGATTTATGTCTACATCATCTATCTACAGTCGCACAGTTCTTCAGGGTGAAATATCGGTGCCAATCTTCTTGTGTTATAGCAGTTTTATGCTGTCAGCACAATCCCTTTCCTTCCATCAAAGCTGAAGCATAAATATTGCCTTTTCATTTTGCCCTTTAACACTATGCCCAAATATTCTACTTTGCTTTTGGTAACCTTTGGTCAAAACGTCTTTCCATCATATCAGTGCCTACAGTAAATATGTGCAGGACTGAGCAGCTCTTTATCTGAAGACAACGTGCTGTCTCTTTTTCAGCCTGTTCGCAGTCTCGGTCCCATGACATTTTTTTTTATATTGTTGCCATAGAATCTTAAACCTTAAGCTGATTCGTGGAGGATTTACTTAATTTGCTGGATACAATTTGTCAACTCCTGCAAAGGTAAAAATAATTTTGATTGTTTAACATTAACTTAGACAAAAACTGAAAAAAAATCTCTTGGTGTGTTTTGCACATCTACTGGTTGAGAAAGCTGTCCACGGGTCAAGAAGAGCAGCTTCACTCCTTTAACTTGGATGGGTTCATTATGGTGTATTGGACTATTTAAATTGTACCAAGTCCGATTACGGTTGAGAGGAGGAGGCGGAGTGGCAGTGTAACACACTTCCCTGCTCCTCCATTCCAGGAGTTACTTAGTAAAACCCCTATAGTGACGGTGTTGGTCCCCCGGCCATTGAAACAAATTAAATCAAGGGTAAACAGAGAAGGAGTTGTGCTCCCTCACTGTGGGGTCATAGGTCAGAGCTGCTCCATCACCACCCGTTCTTGTGTGTAAAAACCTCATAAGAATTAAAACCACAAGAGAAATAGTGCAAACAAATAGGAGAGTAAAATGTGGACTCTTAAACATCAGATCCTTTTTTCTAAAGGTGTGTTAGTACATTAACTAATATCAGATTATGGAATTGATTTATTTTGTTTTACTGAAACCTGTCTGGGTGATGGAGAACATCCATCCATCCATCCATCCATTGTCCACCGCTTATCCGGGGTCGGGTCGCGGGGGCAGCAGCCGGAGCAGGGAAACCCAGACTTCCCTCTCCCCAGCCACTTCAGCCAGCTCCTCCGGGGGGGATCCCGAGGCGTTCCCAGGCCAGCCGGGACACATAGTCCCTCCAGCGGGTCCTGGGTCTTCCTCTGGGCCTTCTCCCGGTGGGACGAGCCCGGAACACCTCCCCAGGGAGGCGACCAGGAGGCATCCTGAACAGATGCCCGAGCCACCTCAACTGGCTCCTCTCCACGTGGAGGAGCAGCGGCTCTACTCTGAGCCCCTCCCGGATGGCCGAGCTTCTCACCCTATCTCTAAGGGAGAGCCCAGCCACCCTGTGGAGGAAACTCATTTCGGCCGCTTGTATCCGCGATCTCGTTCTTTCAGTCACTACCCAAAGTTCGTGACCATAGACGAGGGTGGGAACGTAGATCGACCGATAAATTGAAAGCTTCGCCTTTAGGCTCAGCTCTCTCTTCATCACGACAGACTGGTACAGCGCCCGCATTACTGCAGACGCCGCACCGATCCGCCTATCGATCTCACGCTCCCTACCCCCGTTCGCGAACAAGACCCCGAGATACTTGAACTCTTCCACTTGGGGAAGGACGTCCGCTCCGACTCGGAGGAGGCACTCTACCCTTTTCCGGTGAGAGACCATGGTCTCGGACTTGGAGGCACTGATCCTCATCCCAGCCGCTTCGCACTCGGCTGCGAACCGCTCCAGTGAGAGCTGTAGGTCCTGACTTGATGAAGCCAACAGGACCACATCATCTGCAAAAAGCAGAGATGCGATCCTAAGGCCACCAAGACTGACACCCTCAACACCTCGGCTGCGCCTAGAAATCCTGTCCATAAAAGTTATGAACAGGACCGGAGACATAGGGCAACCTTGGCATGGTTCTTGATGGAGAACATGTGAGCCAAAAATGAATCCACCCCCCCAGTCATATGAATACTCACACTCCTCAAAGCACAGGCCGAGGAGGTGGATTTGCAGCTATCTTTGACTCTAGCCTTGTAATCATCTCTAAACCTAAACTGAATTATAACTCTTTTGAAAGCATTGTTCTGAGACTTTTCCACCCAAGCTGGACATCACTGCAATCAATTATAGTTATTACCAAGCACCTGGTCCGTACTCTGAATTCTTATCTGAATTTGCAGAGTTTTTGTGAAATTTAGTCCTTAAAACGGACAAAGTAATGATCATGGTGCAAGCTCTGAATTCGATATTAGCTGAAAAAAGCGGCATGTACAATATGTTTGAAGAAAAGTGTTGTACATTTATTCCCCTAAACACTGCACCAACAGGGACCATGGAATGGTTATGAATAAAATCATAAGCTTGGTGGGTAAGCTGAAGGATAATGCTGGTGGGGGGTGACTGGCTTTAGGCGGATGGGGAGCTCTGGCAGTAAAAATGGGAATAACGTTTATGCTTTTCCCGAGCCGATATTTGCAAAAAAATGCGTATCGGCCAGCATGAGACAAGGCCGATCCAGACTCCCGATACAGTTTTTTCTTTTCTTTTAATCCATTCCATTTTGCTGTGTTGTTCCCTAATATCCGGTCCGGTCATTTTCCAGCACACCCTTAAGCACAAGAGCATTAGCATCTCACAGGTCTGTGTCCTAACCAGGGAAACAAAGTGAAACCCAGTTAAAATTACACTACATTACCATCATAATCATCTACTTTTCACAGTGTATAGGTACAAAGGACCCACAGCTCATGATGCTATTTAGGGAATTAATTCACTTATGAAAGGGGTGGATAAAGATTAGTTAATTTATTGAGATCATTAGGTAGAATTCTTTTAGTGATATATATATATATTTTTTTTCCTTTCACGTTTTTTTTATGTTGATTTTGATCAATAATGATTACGGAAATTCTGTTATAAAATTTGTTAACCATTTTTACTTTCATTAACGAGTTCATTAAGGGTAATATTTAATTGAGGTCTTACTATCTTATTTCATTATAATAATTTTATCAGATTACACAAAGTATTTCGGGGGGGAGGAGCCTTGCCACTGCTTAAACACAAGCGACAGACTGCAGACTGACTGACAGACTGTCCCTGGGCAGACTGCCCAGGGACACTATGCACTCAGACATCGTTATGCAACTGCCACACAGCTGCAGGAGATGTGTGACAGCTGTTTACGAGATGCAAGGGCTACTAAGGTTTCCAGACAAATCACTCCACCGCATTGGTTGAATGCCAGACGACCGTTGCAGGTGACCCCACTGACACCGAGATACCACCATGAACGTTTGCAGTGGGCACAACACCATGTGACCTGGATAAGGCAGCAGTGGTCTACCATTATGTTCAGCAATGAGTGTCAGGTCACCTTGCACAGAAATTATGGTCGTCAGCATTGCTGGAGAAGGCACAGTGAGCGATAAACCGATGCAAGATTAGGGTTTGCTAGTGAGGAGCATGAGACATCACTGTCAAGCTGTCATTGCAGTAAAATGGCAAAAACACTCACTAATGACATTGTCAATTTTTGTCAAAATTCAGACCAAATAGGAAAAACACTCCTGCAAACAACAATATCCCTAACTTTTTGTGAATATCCATCCATCCATCCATTTTCCACAGCCTATCCGGGGTCGGGGCGCAGGGGCAGCAGCCGAAGCAGTGAAACCCACACTTCTCTCAACCCTGCCACTTCTGCCAGCTCCTCCGCGGTTATTCCGAAAAGGGTTGAGTATCGAATATTTTCCTGAGTATCGGTATCAAGTTGAAAATTTTTGTATCATCACAACCAAATCTACCCTTTTCCTGTGAGAGACCCTGGTCTCGGACTTGGAGGCACTGATCCTCATCCCAGCCACTTCGCACTCAGCTGTGAACCACTCCAGCGATAGCTGTGGGTCACAACTTGATGAACCTAACAGGACCACAACATCTGCAAAGAGCAGAGACGTAATTCTAAGGCCCCCAAGAAGGACATCCTCGACACCTCGGCTGCGCCTAGAAATCCTGTCCATAAAATTTATGAAGAGGACCGGAGACAAAGGGCAACCTTGGCGGAGTCCAACTCTCACTGGAAACGGATCCGACTTACTACCGGCAATGCGAACCAAGCTCTGACTCCGGTCGTACAGGGACCGAACAGCCCGTAACAAAAGGCCCAGTGCCCCCTACTCCCGGAGCACCCCACACAAGATACCCCAAGGGACACGGTCGAACAACTCCTCCAAGTCCACAAAATACATATGGACTGGTTGAGCAAACTCCCATGCACCCTCCAGGACCCCGCTGAGGGTATAGAGCTGGTCCAGCGTTCCACGGCCAGGACGAAAACTACACTGTTCCTCCTGAATCCGAGATTCGACTATCCGACGGACCCTCCTCTCCAGAACCACTGAATAGACCTTCCCGGGGAGGCTAAAGAGCGTGATCCCCCTGTTGTTGGTACACACCCTTCGGCCCCCCTTTCTATATGGGGGACCACCACCCCAGTCTGCCAATCCAACGGAACAGCCCCTGACGTCCACGTGATGTTTTGTGAATAGTGTATGTAAATAAAACTGTAAAAAATAAATGTGTTGTTCCTGGTAATCCTACAAATTTGAGTAAAGGCAAGTGGACTTATTTTTGTATCTTGTAAGATGTTACTCTGTTAGTCGCTTTGGATAAAAGCATCTGCTAAATGCATTAACATAAACATTTTTCACCTTTTTCATCTAAAAGGCCTGTTTTGTTTACAACTGAGCAAGCTTTTTGAAAAGTTACTCAAGCTTTCAATATGTATACAATATACACCTATTATTACAATGTATCAAAGCCAATATACTCTCAAGAAAAGCTGCAACTTTCTTGACAGGTACAAGCAGATAAACAGGGAAAAGATCATAGATCAAATGCTGATTTTAAATTAAATTTCTTGCCGTACAAGCGAAAACATTCTTTTTCATACCTGCATAGTATTAAAACCGATCGAGATCTTACTTTGATCCTAGGCATGGTGACTGTAGGAGGTCTTGCCTTTGCCACAAAACTGAGCGAGGAGCCCCTTTCCACCAGATGCCTTGTGTAGGGCATGTACAACCGACCATTGGGTCCAAACACGAAGTCTTCTCGGAGGCCATCGATTAACATAATAACCAGCTTTCTGAACAGGGGCTGGGGCAGGCGAGATGAGTTAGGAGAGCTCCCTGTGGTATGAAACACCGTGTGACGAGTGTTAACAGAGTACAGGCAGAATTAATGAGTGATACCGGCGGTGATACCGGTGATGCTCACCGGCCAGCGGCTCCGCAGGAAGATCAGACAGCTTGCTTTTGGCTTCTACAGAGGACTTGACGGGAACAGGGAAAAATCCCCGAAGAAAGAGGGCAACCCCAATAACTTCAAATATCAAAATGAAGGAAGCAAAAACAGACGAGCGTACTTTCATTGTGCTGGATGCAGGACACTTTCGGGAGGGATAAACTTAGGCTAGCATAAGAACTGGCAAGCTAAAAACAGACTTTACTGTCCCCACAGTTGATCTGAATACAAAGGACAAATGTGATGTACGCAATGTTAGATAGCATACTACACGACTATCCGTAACCGTTCGAATAAAAAACTCTTGAAGGTGAGCCCTTGTGGACGCAATTAAATAAATGAATAATCCCAGTTAGTGCTGTGACCATTCATAACAACTTCCGCGTCAATAGCATGAAACTACGGCTGGGACGTAGAACCAAACAAAACCAATACGCTTCTTCTTCAACACAAAAAGAACACACACTATTGGTTTTAATTGTTTGGGCTCCTTTAAAAAGGGTAAGATTGGATTCCTAACTTCCTGTGAACTCAAGAGAAGCCACTTACAAATCATTCACGTTTGTTATAGTACAAGAATGTAATCAGATCTAAATGACAAATACAATGATTGGCAGCTATCACCAATTAAATTTGATACATTATGTGAGGCAGATGCTCATCTGATCTGATACTAAATATGTTGAATGCTTTTAAATAGTTAAAAGCCACTCAAGTTGGTAGAAACACCAGGCAATTATTTTTCAATGTTTGTTATATGCTTGCTTCAAACGTTCAAGTGGCTATTGCAACCCCATCTTATCTGATCAACACCATGACAAATCACGTAAAAACTCAATGCCTAAGAATGACAACTACGTTTTAAGACTTAAGTCTGAAAACATTGCAATCTGAAGCCCTAAAGCTTAATAAGATTTTAATTAAACATAAAATAAATAAAGCAGTTATTGCATTTTTGAAGGTAACAGGATTATACGTAAGAATTTAGATTGGGGGAGATGCTCTGGTCCACACTCCAGTACAGTAGATGGCGATAATACATCTTAACGTTAGATGTCACATGCCAATAAAAAACACAAAAGAAGAAGAGTCTGAAGCCCTCATCCAAAAAGAAACTTTTTCTTAAATGTATTCCAAACTGCCACACTTTTAATTTGTCATCCTCACCCCGACTCATATTTTTTATATCTGTCATGTGAAGGCACAACATGATAATTTCTGACAGATTTTAACCTGGTGTTGATATAGCTCAAGCCTGGAAAAGATAAAAAATGTATTGACTCCGTTTATGTGTCCTGTAATCCTGAGTTGCTGCTGCCATCTACTGGAAGAACTTCATAAAAAAACATCCACAATTGACACATTAAGAAGTACCTGAATGAATTGCCTTTTTTAATTGTTATTTGCATTTCATACATCCCCATGCCAACAATGTTCCTAGATGTTTTTGTTATGTATTTCATAGTGAAATGTACACGGACAAAATCAGTTATCATTCAAACTGAGGAACAAAATACAAGTTTCTTATTTATTTTTAAGATTCCGCTTCTTCCTTCCAACTCTCCAGTGTGCGATTTAATGACTGATGGAAATCACAACAAAAGTAAGTTTTAATAGCTATTAAATCACAGAGTTCTGGGAACACAAGTCTCTTAGCATAAGAGCAGTACTTTAATAAAAGGATATCAGAATCAGAATTACTTTATTAATCCCTTGCAGGAATTTCTCTCAAATCTATCAGAGCTCTTTGATAAAAGTGACCCCACTTACATAAATATGTCATTTTTGCAATAATGCATCAATTGTACCATTCTCTACTTTTCTTTCCTCTTCAGAACATTAATAAAAGCATCTTTAGGAACATCCACATTGCCGATGCGCCTCATCTTCTTTTTACCCTCAGCCTGTTTCTTCAGTAACTTCATCTTCCGAGTTATGTCACCTCCATACTAGAAAGAAGGGAACAAAAAAGCCAATTCAGTTCACTGAATGTTAATCTTAATATATTTCTGCAATCACTTTGTTTGCATAAAGAAGGACAAAAAGGCTTTACTTACACATTTTGCAAGAACATTTTTTCTATAAGCCTTTATCCTGAAAAGACACAAAGGCAATGGTCACACAACATACTTAGTCCATTATGTCAGATCTTTTCAAGGAAAAAAAAAAATCAATTTCATACTTTGTAGCTATACTGAGCATCCCTAAGGTTTCTGAAAAACACACGGTAGCTCAGCGCAGCTCCTGTACTCACGTTTCTCTTGCAATGACTTTACTTCCAATGGCTGCCTGTATGGCAACCTCAAACATCTGCCTCGGGATAGAATCTTTCAGTCGCTCGCACATGGCCTTCCCAGAGCTGTATGCTCGGCCCCTATAAAAGACAACATGCTTACCAGATGGAACTGTTGGAAATATATACACACACAAATGCATGCACGCACACACACAGACACACACACATATTAGCTTTAAACCCAGGGAGAGGCAAACAAACTTGGTCCATCAACTCGCCAGATCTATCAAGTCACCCCTTAAATACAGTTACAGTCAAACGTGCAATTCTCAAGCACAAAATACAACTACTACATCATGTCACTTCTTCTGTCTTCAGTAGTTTAATGAATAAGCAGAGAGGAAACCAAAATGTTGGACTAAGGTTTTTAACATGTAGTCCCTTATATGAATAAGGGAATCATTTAATAATAATGTATCATTACGTCAGGGTATAACAGCAAAAAAAACTTGAAAATGAAAAAGTGCCGTGGGCTTGATGTGACTGTAAATGGCGTCTCCATTGATAGAGGACAATATGAATAGTGTACTTCTTGTAAAAGGTTTTCCACACTGATTGGTGCTTTGCTCTGAAATAGGAACAGAGTGGAGCTAAGCTTAACCTGACTGGAACCGGAAACTTAAAAGAATGAGCGGAATGAGACGGGGTCCACTTCATTAGTGAAGTGTAGCATCTTCCAGTTACAGAGGTTTATTTGGTCTGTTGAACTCCAGAGTCCATTCAACACTGCTGTGTGTCATCACTTTTGGAAAGTTACTCTTCTGTCCTTGTCATAAGGAAGTCCTTGTTTGGCGTGTAAAGTCACATTAATGCTGACCGACAAGAGGCCCATTATATGATTTCCATAGTGCTGAATATATTTAATGCTCCATGGGACCAGGATTATTGTTACAATAACCAACGACCGTATAGATTGACCTTTATAGCAACACCTGTAATTAAGCACCAGGAGGCTGCAGTGACACAGTGTTAATCTGAACTGTACCTGTGTACGATTGTGGTGAGCTCCTCCACTGGCCGCCCATTCAGCAGAATGTCCATCTTTATCAAATCAGCAGCCTGGTAGCCCGTATTCTCGTAATCGAAGCTGAGCGAGAGCAGACAAGACAGAGGGACAGCTGAATGCACAGGATGTGACAAAACATGCAACACAAGGTGCTCGTTGTCTGGCGGGAAACAACAACTCACAGAGAGGGTTTGGCTTCTGAAATTTACCGATTGAGTTGGTACAGATGCAATTTAAGGAACGCTTTGTTTTAAAGTGACATTCCATTGTTGTGATATGCCCCAAAGTTTGTAAACCTAGTTGAATTTCTGGACAAATATGATCTGAGACATCCTCCCTAACGTCTTCAAGACAGGTCAATAGATTCTCATTTTTCAATAGGAATAGAAAACTCTCTGTGGTCCAAGGACCAATTAGTATTGAGCTTTCCAATACATTTAAAAACCAAAGCTGAGAATGTGTCAATGTGTCCTATTTCACTCTTTTATCACCAGTTTAGTTCGTATTTCCACAACTTGGTCAACTAAGATGGCTACAAATCTGCTACAAAAATAATCTTTGGGTCATTAGTCCTCTTGACAGAAATAATCAGCGTGGGTGTTACTGTGTAAGTTGGGCAATACAAGTATAATAACAATAATACATTTTATTTGAAGGCGCCTTTTTCGATATTCAAGGACACTGTACAAAGATACACAAATATGCATTAAAAGAAACAACAATAAAGATCAATAAAATAGACAAAGGCAATGACAATATCAATAGGCCTCAGATAGAAAAGGGAGTCTTAAACAGATGTGTTTTGAGATGTGATATGAAATGGGGGAGTGAGTCTATGTTTCTGAGTTGGGATGGTAATGAATTCCAAAGTGGCTGAATGCTCCTTTCCCCATGGTACTGAAACGGGCGAAGGGGAACAACAGGTGTAAGGAAGAAAAAGATCTGAGGGAGCGGGAGGGAGTGGCTAGAGGGATAATGCCTGACAGATATGGGGAAGCAAGGTTGTGGATTGATTTGAATGTTAGCAGGAGAATTTTGAATTGAAAACGGAACTGAACTGGAAGCCATTGGAGCTGTTGGAGGACAGGAGTGATGTGGTGGATCGGAGGGGTTCGAGTTATGAAGCGGGCAGCTGAATTCTGGACCAGTTGAAGTTTATGGAAGGATTTATCAGGGAGACCGAAGAAGAGAGCATTGCAATAATATAGAAGGGGTGTGACAAGGCTGTGGTCGAGGATGGCAGCAGTGTGGGGGGGTAAGGGAGGGCCGTAGGCCAACCGCCT